CTTTTAAGGATTCATGCGATTCGATTGGGCCACCCAGAGAAGCCAGGATAATCTCTCAGTGTCAAGGTCCTTACCTAATCATATCTGCAAAGACATTTGTTTCCATACAAAATGACATGATTGTGTACATGTACCACATCTTTTTATCCACTCATCTACTGATGGGCACTTGGGCTGTCTCCATAATGGCCGCACCAGCCTGCATTCCCACCAGCAGTGCACAAGGGTTCCCTTTCTCCACATTGCCACCAGCACTTGTCGTTAGTTGATTTGTTGAGGATAGCCATTCTGGCAGGTGTGAGGTGAAACCTCATTGTATTTTTAAGTTACATCTCTCTGATGATTTGTGACATTGAACATTTTTTTCATATGTCTATTGGCATCTGTATGTCCTCTTTGTTGACATGTCTGTTCAGGTCCTTTGCCTATTTTTTAATTGGGTTGTTTGCCATTCTGGTTTTGAGTTGTATGAGTTCTTTGTATATTCTGGAAATTAACCCCTTATCAGATGTATCATTGATGAATACATTCTTCTATATAATGGGTTCCCTTTTAATTTTGTAGATGGTTACTTTTGCTGTACAGATCTTTTGGGTTTGACATAGTCCCATTTCTTTGTTTTTCCTTTGTTTCTCTTGCCCTAGGAGATGTATTGGTTAAAATACTTCTACATGAGATGTCTCAGATTTTACTGCCTATAGTTTATTCTAGAATTTGTATGGTTTTGTGACTTATATTTAAGTCTTATTCATTTTGAGTTTATTCTCTTGTGGTGTAAGTTAGTGGTCTACTTTCATTTTTGGCATGTACCTGTCCAGTTTTCCAATGCCATTTTTGAAGAGACTATCTTTATTCCTGTTAGAGTTTGGCTAGTGATGCCGGATGTGAAAGAATTCACAACTAAAAGAAGAGATGCAGAGAGGACGTGCATTTTACTTTTCAATAGAGGAAAGGGCCAAGTATTGCTAGTCAGTACAGGGTAGGGAACAAAGAGTGGCCTGCTCTTTTAAGCAGTGGCTATTGCTATGTGACAATGAAAGGATGAAGATTTTCTTTAAGTTGAGCAGATACTGGGGATTTGTCTTGAAAAATTAGTTTGTTTGCTTTCCAGGACACAGTCTGGCAGATGTCTAAGGGCAGTGATGGTGAACCTATGACATGCGTGTCAGAGGTGACATGCGAACTCATTTTTTTGGTTGATTTTTCTTTGTTAAATGGCATTTAAATATATAAAATAAATATCAAAAATATAAGTCTTTGTTTTACTATGGTTGCAAATATCAAAAAATTTCTATATGTGACACGGCACCAGAGTTAAGTTAGGGTTTTTCAAAATGCTGACATGCCGAGCTCAAAAGGTTCGCCATCACTGCTCTAATGTATTCTTCATTTCTGACTGGTTCTTTTTTTATGTTTTCTATCTTCATTTTTATGTTTCCTATTTCTTTGTTGAAGTTCTCACTGAGATCATTGAGCACCCTATAAATGGTTCTTTGAACTCTTTATCTGGTAGATTTCTTGTCTTCATTTTGTTTAGTTCGTTTTGTGGAGTTTTGATTTGTTCTTTCATTTGGGACATGTTTGCTTTCTCACATTGCCTGCCTTCCTGTGTTTCTTTCTATGTCAGGTACAGCTGCCACACCTCCCTGTCTTGGTGCAGTTGCTCTATAGTAGGTGTCCTGTAGGACCCAGTAGCACAGGGCTCCCAGTCACTCAAGCTGGGTGTTCCAGGTGCGCAGTCCCCTCTCACCACCCCATTTGGGCTCTGAGCACCCTCCTGTTGTAGTTGAGCCTTGATTGCTGTTGACACATCACTCTGTGGGATTGACTCCCAGGCAGATCAGCTGTGAGGACCGGCCATAACTATAGCGTAGGAACTGCTGTGCAGAGGCTGATTTCATGGAGAACTTGCTTCAGTGGGGCTTTGGTGCCTGTCGAGTCTGCCCCTTGAGTCACTCATGGAGGTGGTTGGATGGTACTCTGGTGTGGTCTGAAGCTGTCCACTGGTTGTACTTGTTCTGGGGCCTCCCAGGAGGTGCAGGCCAAGGTCAGCTGCTGCCTATGCCCTGCCCGGGACCACCTGATGAGCTACAAAGTGATTTGCAGGTGATTGCCACTTGTGCTGAGGTTGGAGGTGCCTGTGAGATGCTAAGCGTCAAATTGAGGCTGGCTGCCACTGGTGCTGGGTTTCGGACTATTTAGCAAGAGGTCTGTGACATGGTGAGGCCAGGTGCTGCTTTTTAAGTGTTTTTGAACCTTTGAGAAATTTTAGGAAGGTCTGCAGCATGAGCCAAGAGAGGCTGGTTGTAAGGAAAAGCCATTGGAAGTGGCTTGGGTGGGCCTAAAAGTTGGGTGGGGTGGGTGTCTCAGGTAATCACCAGGCCTGGGAAACTGTGTTAGCCAGGTTAATGGAGACTCAGATATGGCACCCTCCTGTGCTGACAGGAGGAGGGCTCAGCAAAGGAACAGTGGCTTTTCTGCCAGCACTTTTGACTGGGAGAAAGCTGCCCCTCTAGCCCTTGCCCTGAAGCCAGATGATTGACCTCCTCCCCATATGTCCTGGCACCTTTCAAGCTGCCACCCAGTGCTGGAGCTCAGAGTGAGCGAGTCAGTCAGCGAGTAAGTCTGTGTGGGCCCTTTAAGAGGACCTCCTGGGACTCCAGCAGCCCTCCATCCCGCTCAGCCACAATCCCTGCTGGTTTTCACAGAAGTTGTGGGGACTTCTTTTCCCAGCACTGGAACCATGGGCTGGGAGGCCTGGAATCCCTTGCTCTTCAGGGGGACCTCCACCTCTCACAGCCAAGATATCCCTTCTGATTTTTAGCCAACACACATGGGTGTGAGACCAGCATTGTCTACCTCTCTATCCTTCTTACCAGTCTGAATGTTGCTTCTTCTGTATGTCCTTAGCTTTAGGACTTCTGTTCAGCTAGACTTCAGGCAGATATCAATGATGGTTATTCTGTAGTTTATTTGTAATTTTGATGTGGTTATGAGAAGATACAAGTATGGTATTTACATGCTCTGCCATCTTGACAAGAAGCTTTGTATTCTAGTTTTAAAAAACACTTTTACATTTGTGTTTTGAGTAGATGACAAAAATTCCATGATAAAAATTAAAAACCCACAGCAAGTATAAAGTAAAAGTCTCCCTCCTACCCTGTCTCTTTGGCATCCAATTCCCCATTAGAGGCCACCAGTGCATCATTCTAGAGCAGTGATGGCGAACCTTTTGAGCTCGGCCTGTCAGCATTTTGAAAAACCCTAACTTAACTCTGGTGCCGTGTCACATATAGAAATTTTTTGATATTTGCAACCATAGTAAAACAAAGACTTATAATTTTGATATTTATTTTATATATTTAAATGCCATTTAACAAAGAAAAATCAACCAAAAAAATGAGTTCGCATGTCACCTCTGACACGCGTGTCATAGGTTCACCATCACTGTTCTAGAGAGCTGTGCTACATAGGTATTTGTATGTGGAATACATAGGTATTTGTACTTTTGACAGATATTAATACACTGCCCTCCTGAAAGGTTAGCCTCCCAGCTAAGTGTGCAAATGCTTATTTCCCCAACAATTCACCAACACAATATTATGAAACTTTTGGGTCTCTGCCAATCTCATGGATGAAAGGGGTATCTTGATATTGCCTTAATTTGCCTTTTCCTTATCAATGGGGTTGGGCATCTTTATGTACTTATTGTATTTGAAAATTTCTAAGATGCCATTGATTGTAAGATGCATACTTATTAAAACGTGTGTGTATAAGGGATGGGCATTTAACATTGATGAAATAAGGTAAATTCTATTAATGTGCTATTTGTAGTTCCTTTTCTGTGGACTTCCTGTTAATAGCCTTAGCCTGTAATCCATTAGAGAAACAGGCAGTGTTCTCATTGATTTGTAAGAGTTCTTTATATTTTAAGGAAATTAGCCCTTTGTCTCTGATAGGAGTTACAATTATTTTTCTCAGTCTGCTAACTTTGCCCTTGGTGGGTTTTTCCATGAAGAAATTGTGTGCATACATGTTTGTATAGTTGAATTTATCGATCTTTTCTTCTAATGCTAATTGGTTTAGTGTTTTTCTTAGAAAGACCTTCTCCACTCTGAGATTATTTTTAAAATTCTCTCATGATTTTTTGGTATTGCTTTTATAATTTTTTTTTTAAACTCAGATATCTGATCCATCCTGAACTTATTTTGGTGCAGTATGTTAGGTATAAATCCAACTTTATGTTCATTGTTTTTTCCTACTGGGCAACCCACTTGTCCCAGTGCCACTGGTTGAATCTTCATTCACACTTACTTTTTATGTGTTTGTGTCTATTTCTAGATTTTTTTAGTATTTAAAAATTATTTCTAAAAATTATATGAGTGTTACACAGGAATCCAATCTCATGAAAAAATTCAATCAATAGTGAACTTTTAAAAAAGGGCTCTTTGCTTCTCCCTACTCCTTCATACTTTTTTTGAGATAATCATTGTTAATAGACCACCAATTATGCCATGTAGACCTTTTTCTACTACTTTTATGTATATGTCTGTAGTTTGAGGAATGTGGAGATTATGTTTGTCTATCTATCTATCTATCTATCTTCTATCATCTATCTATCTATCATGTGTAATATGCTGTAAGTTGCTTTTCAACCCACTAACTCTATGTCTTAAGAGTTCCATGGCAGTCTGTGAAGTTATACCTCATTATTCTTTTTAACCTCTGTATAGAGTCCATGTTATGAATGTTTCATACTTGATTTAACCACTCCCTTATTGTTGCACATCAAGGTTGTTTGCAATTTTTTCCTAATTTTAGCAAGGCTATATATATAGCTTATAAAGTGTGTAGCATTGCTTCTCTTTAATTTGTGATAAGCCAAATTCTAAACTATTTATGTGTGAAAAACTTAACTATTGTATAATTTGTGCGGAAGAACAACTGGACCACATTGAGTGATACGTTATTAATATTATGTGATGATCTTGTCTTTCCAGATAAAATTTGATGCTGGGACCCTCCTTCTTAGTACACATCGATTAATTTGGAGAGATCAGAGAAATCATGTAAGATACAGTTTTTTACATCTGTTCTAGGTTTTAAATCACTGAAGTTTTTCTTCTTTTTCTTCCTTTTTGGCAAACTATAAATAGATGCAGCAAATTTTTAATTTCAGAACGTTATTAGAGTGTGTGTCCCATATGATCTGTCTGAATGGAGTGCACATAGAGGGGGTATAGTGTTGTCCCTCATTCAGCTCCAGAAAAGTCTGTAGTTACTGAATAGAGAATCATGATGACTCCTGTTTTTAAAATACCAGTCAGATCCTACCTCATACCTGAATGTTCCATGTGTAACAGGAATAATTCTCCCATCAGTTTTTAGGGGTCCTTAAAAAGCCTCATTCATCCTCAAAACAACCCAGCCTTCTGATTGCTGTTGAGAATCAGGAGGATGGGTCTGCTGGGAAGTGCATGCTTTTACCTAGATATTGAGAAAAACAGCCTCTAAGTCACTCAGCAAGAGGAGAAACTCCTGTTTTTTCATTTCTAGGAAGGGAGAACAAGTTATGTGTATGCTAGTAGAGCTGATGTCTTTATTCCAAAGAACTTGAAAGTATTTGTGTTTGTGAATAAATTTCAGTGTTGCTGGTACAATAAACAATGTCTTCTACATTATTTTTATAATTTCTGTCTCTCCATCAAATTTTAATTCCACAGGTAAACTGTATACTGTACTGAGGCTCTTTGAAAGGTCACTAACCATTGCAAAATATAAGACTCTTTTTGGTTCCCAAGATCCAATATTGTCCCTTTAGTGGTGATATTTCTGTTGTTGATAATGCATGCCTTAGAACTATTAATGTTTTCTAACTCTTTTAAAAGAAATATACATTCAAGAAAAAAAATTTTTTTTGGAGGGATAGGTGTCTTTAAACTGTATGTTTATAAGTTAATCTTAGTATAATTTTTTGATTATCATATAAAGAGGCAAATTTAGAAATCTTTAAACCAGCCATTGAATGCCATTCATTTATAATAATTAAAAAATTAAATGTACTAATAAAGGGAAGCTATATTACTATTTTCTGTTTAAAATTTTGGGTGGGTGAGTGAACTATCTATACTAATAAAAGGGTAACATGCTAATTAGACCAGATGTCTTCTGGACGTCCTTCTGGACGTCCTTCCGGCAAAGCCACGGTGGTGGGGGCCAAGGCAGAGGTGGTTAGGCGTGATCAGGCTGATAGGGGAGAGCAGTTAGGGGCAATCAGGCTGGCAGGGGAGAGCAGTTAGAGGTGATCAGGCCCGTGAGAGCAGGTAGGGGCGATCAGGCAGGCAGGCAGAGTGGTTAAGGATGATCAGGCAGGCAGGCAGGTGAGCAGTTAGGAGCCAGCAGTCCCAGATTGCGAGAAGGATGTCCGACTGCCAGTTGAGGGGGATGTCCTCGGCAGTCAGACATCCCCCGAGGGGTCTCGGATTTGAGAGGGTGCAGGCCAGGCTGAAGGACCCCCCCCCCCACAAGAATTTTGTGCACCGGGCCTCTAGTAGGAAATTATAAAGGAAAATGAATAACACTCTTTATCTTTGTTTTGATTTACCTGTTTTATTTTTTGTTTTCTATATAAGAATATATTATAGCCTAGCTCTGGTGTGGCTTAGTGATTCAGCATCAATCCATGAACCGAGAGTCACTGATTTCCAGTTAGGACACATGCCTGGGTTGCGGGCTGGATCCTCGGTGGAGGGTGTGGAGGAGGCAGCCGATCAATGATGTGTCTGTCTCATTGATGTTTCTATCTCTCTATCCCTGTCCCTTATTCTCTTGAATCAATAAAAATATATTTTAAAAAATAATATAGTATATGTAAAAAGTTGCATATAAATATTACGTTTTAAAAATGTACCTACTGTGAAAACAAAGGTAGTTATAGCTGTTTTTAAAATCTTATGTTTTTCCACGTAGTAAAATGCCACCATAGTATTGCTTTCATTCAGTTATTCCTTAAATTTATTTAAGGAATAAAGTAAGATAATTATTATTTATTGTTTTTATTATTAAGTACCTTAAAGGTATTTGACATTCTATTAAGTGCTATAAAACAAGGATTTCTGACTGGTCTTATGAGTCATATTTTCTATTGATTTCCTCCTAGGAATGCTGCATGGCTATTCCTCTTTCTCAAATTGTGTTCATTGAAGAACAGGCGGCTGGAATTGGGAAAAGGTAAGGTCTGTATATTGTAGTTTTTATTCACAAAATACATTTTCATTCAAGCTATTATCATTAATTTAGTTAATTTACTGCTGTGCCATGACTACATATGGGGACATGATTGTGTTTGGGGGCTTTATAAATAACTTCCTTGATCAGGAGTTCCCCTAGGAAGGTATTATCCTACCTTAAGCTCATTGATAAATGGAAGTCATTCTTAAAGCATGAATCAAGTACTAAGGTTTGCTATAATATCCTTGGGTCATAATAAATAAATGTGGTCCAGTTGTCATTGTATATATTTCCACAGACATTTACTTTTAAATGTCTATGTATCTTGTTTAGTACTTAAAATCAGAAATGAAGAAAGGAACTGACTTTGCTCCTATTTCTAGTTGATCATTAAGTTTCTCACTTATATTTTTGATATATCAGTGTTAGGGTATCATAATATTTATTGTCCAAATTGGGACATTTATAAGTAATGGGAGTGCTGTTTATAATTGGACCAGTCAAGCATAAAATGGGACTGTCCCAGGCAAATCAGATGTGTCTGCCCTGGTTTAAAACCACAGGTTAAAATGTTTCTGTTTATTCAAGTATATACAGAATTCTGGCTTTATAGTTTAAGTGTATGTAATTGAGGTCAACTTATGAACAGATATTGCTGATGAGGAATTTTTTTCCACATGGACCCATTTTTAGCTTTAGCATAGTTATATACTTTAATAGATGTTAAATAAGTGCTGAACTTCACTGGAAATGCAATGTATGCCTTAATTATAATGTAGCTAGCCTAAAAGATTGCTTACTTGACATAAAAGAAACTAACCAACATTTTGAAGAGTCATAAGGTATTTATTTTTAGAGTAGGCTATTTCTCTAATTTATGTTTTGCCCCTTGTCACTTCTTTCCATCTTATATGTTCTTTCTTTAAAATTTATTTTACTTTTTTATTGAGGTATAATTAACATACAACATTATATTAGTTTCAGTTGTACAGCATTTGATATTTGTATATGTTGGTTTTCTTTTTTAAGTTCTACAAAGTAAAACTTTAAGAGTCTTTTAGATCATTTGAATTTTCCTCTGCTGTGTTATAAGGAAATCTAAACTATAACAAATATATTCAAAATAGTTACCTTCATATTAGTGTCTTATTTTTTTTATTTTTATTAAATCTTTATTGTTCAGGTTACATTTGTTCCTCTTTTTTTCCCCCCCATAACTCCCCTCCTCCCAGTTCCCGCCCCACCCTCCGCCCTCACTCCCCACCCACTGTCCTCATCCATAGGTGCACGATTTTTGTCCAGTCTCTTCCCGCATCTCCCATTCCCCTTTCCCCCCCAAGAATAGTCAGTCCATTCCCTTTCTATGTCCCTGATTCATTATAATCACCAGTTCATTCTGTACATCAGATTATTTATTCACTTGATTCTTAGATTCACTTGTTGATAGATGCATGTTTGTTGTTCACAATTTGTATCTTTACCTTTTTCTTCTTCCTCCTCTTAAAGGATACCTTTCAGCATTTCATATAATACTGGTTTGGTGGTGATGAACTCCTTTAGCTTTTCCTTATCTGTGAAGCTCTTTATCTGACCTTCAATTCTGAATGATAGCTTTGCTGGATAAAGTAATCTTGGTTGTAGGTTCTTGCTATTCATCACTTTGAATATTTCTTGCCACTCCCTTCTGGCCTGCAAAGTTTCTGTTGAGAAATCAGCTGACAGTCGTATGGGTATTCCCTTGTAGGTAATTGAGTCTCTTTCTCTTGCTGCTTTTAAGATTCTCTCTTTGTCTTTTGCTCTTGGCATTTTAATTATGATATGTCTTGGTGTGGTCCTCTTTGGATTCCTTTTGTTTGGGGTTCTCTGCGCTTCTTGGACCTGTAAGTCCATTTCTTTCACCAGGTGGGGGAAGTTTTCTGCCATTATTTCTTCAAATAGGTTTTCAATATCTTGCTGTCTCTCATCTTCTGGCACCCCTATTATTCTGATGTTGGTACGCTTGAAGCTGTCCCAGAGGCTCCTTACACTATCTTCGTATTTTCGGATTCTTTTTTCATTTTGCTTTTCCGGTTGGGTGTTTTTTGCTTCTTCGCATTTCAAATCTTTGACTTGATTCTTGCGCTCCTCTGGTCTGCTATTGGGTGTCTGTATAATATTCTTTATTTCAGTCCGTGTATGCTTAATTTCTAGTTGGTTCTTTATCATAGCATCGAGGGTCTCATTAGTTTTCGTGACTCTCTCCTCAAGTTTATTGACAGCTTCTAGCACATTTTTGCAAGCCCTCAAAATTGCGATTTTTAGCTCTATATCCTCCATTTCTGTCATGTTTTTTTGTCTCCGCATTTTTTATGCTTTCTTGGTGCACCCCCTAGTGGTCTTTGTGCGCAGTCTTGTTCTAGTTGAGCCTTGATTGTTGTAGTTAATACTAGAGGGATTTGACCACCAGGCCGACTGGCTGTGTGAATCAGCTGTGTCTGCCGCGGAAAACTTCTGTCCTCTGGGGAGGTGCTAATCTAGCCTTTGCCTGAGGCGATCCGGCAAATGGCTCTGCGCAGGGCTTGGGCGGGGCGGGCTCAACAGGGCGGGCGGAGGGAGCGGTTATGGCCCCTCTCAGTCCCGTTCCCAGAGGCTCTGCTTCTCAGAACCCCAGGAACCGCTGCAAACCTCGGAGAGAAAGCTGCCTTCCAACTGATGCCAGACACTCCCGCTTCTCCCGTTTGAGTCCGAGTCCCCAGCGATTCGCCCGTATCTGGAGCTCAGAGTCTGAGACTCCCCCCTGACCGAAAACGACAACCGCGCTCTCAGCCACCAGCCCGCTTTGCGCGCGCACCTCCGCACCTGAGTATTTTCCACACTGCGCCTCCTCTGAGCCTCGGTGTGCTGTTATTTTTCCTTCTAGTTGAAGAGTCTCTCCTCAGCCAGCCTTCCTGTGGTTCTGGGTGATGTCCATTCCGTCTTTTAGTTGTATTTTTGAAGTGGTTGTTTGCGGCAGCAGTCTCCGGTGTTTACCTATGCCGCCATCTTGGTCTCTTCTAGTGTCTTATTTTTAAACATCTCCAGTGAGGAGGAATTTAATAATTTGCCAGGTTAACTTTTTTCAAATATTCTCTATAGTTTCTAGCTCCCCCTGCCCCAATTTATCGTATCTTATTGATTCAAAGATGTATGCATATTTTCATCCTTTAACAAAGAACCCAAGATGCTTCTTTGATTTGGTGGATTTTAAACTTAATGAAATATGATATTGAATGACTCAAGAAATGAATAGGTGAAAAAATTTGCATGGATCTTTTATGCTAACTTTGGAATTTTTAAACTTCACGTTGTATCATAATATTTTAGCTTTTCATTAGGTTTCATTTGACAAAATCTGATAGCAGGACTCAGGTTTTTTTAGTTTTAAAGATTATATAATGCTTTTGCTCAGTCATCCTATTCCCAGTTGTCATAGTTTAGTTGCTCTAGTTGGCAGTTCATTTCAAACAGTCCTGTGGTTCTGCTTGCAGTTTTTAAAAAAATTTTTTTTTATTGATTTCAGAGAGGAAGGGAGAGGGAGAGAGGGAGAGAGAGATAGAAACTGAATGATGAGAGAGAATCATTGACTGGCTGCCTCCTGCACCTCTTCTCCCCCACTGGGGATCAAGCCTGCAACCCAGGCATGTGCCCTGACTGGGAATTGAACCGTGACCTTCTGGTTCATAGGTCGACGTTCAATCACTGAGCCATGCTGGCCAGGCTGCTTACACAGTTTGTTTGCTTATTGCACTTAAAGATATTCACCACAAAGGAATAGATGAAGAGTCCTTACAAAGTGGCCCCAGTTCACTAAACAAAACATTTGTTAAATTGAGGAGGCCCCACACATGGTATTTCACAGTGATATTTATGTAACCACCTGGGCCTAACCAAAGTAAAATTGCATAATAGGTGAATCTGTACTGTGGCCATAAAGAAAAAGCTTTAAGCTAGATATCCAAGATATTTTGGCTAAGTCTTTTGATTTTGCTAATCTTTATAGAAGAAGATTGTTTATTGAGCAGGTTGGGAAAAAAAGAAAAAAATACATAAAACTGAACAAATGTAGTGGTATTTTTTTTTTTAAATTTTTTTTTTAATATATTTTATTGATTTTTTACAGAGAGGAAGGGAGAGAGATAGAGAGTCAGAAACATCGATGAGAGAGAAACATCGATCAGCCGCCTCCTGCACATCTCCCACGAGGGATGTGCCCGCAACCCAGGTACATGCCCTTGACCGGAATCGAACCCGGGACCTTTCAGTCTGCAGGCCGACGCTCTATCCACTGAGCCAAACCGGTTTCGGCTGTAGTGGTATTTTTAATAGTATAGAAGATAATGGTAGTCATAAAGATGATGGTAATTTGTGTTACTAGAGCAGCACTGTTTTGAAAAATGTTTTTGCTATTGAATATTTTTGTAGGTCATACTGTTGATCAAGTGGAATTTTCCAAAAATGACAGTATAGAATGTTAGTTTTGGATGGTGTTTTAATAAAATGTCTGCTGGCCAGTTTTACAGAGATAAGTTTTTAAAAAAATATTTAAAATCATTTTTATTTATCAATTACAGTTGACATATTATATTAGTTTCTGATATATACTCCAGTGATTTAGACGTTATATAACTTACTAAATAATCATCCCAATAAATTTAGTACCCATCTGACACCATACATAATTATTAGAATATTATTGACTATACTAGAGGCCTGATGCACGAAGATTCGTGCAAGAATGGGCCTTCCTTCCCCTGGCTGCCGGCACTGCCTTCGCTCCGACCCGGAGCCACCTTTCTGCCTTCCCACGCTGCCCAGAGGCCCGGGGGCGGTGTGGAACGCCCCACCCCTGGCCACTCAGTGCCTGTGTATGCAAATTAACCTGCCATCTTTGTTGGGTTAATTTGCATACTCACACCTAACTGGCTGGTGGGCGTTGTGAAGGTATGGTCAATTTGCATCTTTCTCTCTTATTAGTGTAGACT